TGTTTACAAAATAAATGTTGTGATATGTCTTTACATAGTGACTTAACATACCTGAGAATTGACTGTGTTCATCTTAAAAAATGGTTGGGATAAGCAGAATAAAATTCATGCTGCCTCTCAAATATTAATATGAGTAAAAAGTCAGGTTAAAGTATTTTATCCAGAGAATATATCATCTTCAGGGAGAAGTCTAGAGATTTTCTGGGTAAAATTTCCAGAAAGACTAGAATCTCTTTGTATCACTATGTGGTTATAAATCAATGCAGTAGCATTATAATAAAGTGGATTGCTTGGTTGGACATACATACTGTGGTTGGAAAATGTAAAAATAAATTGATTTTTTTTACCCAAGCTTTACAACCTTGCTTACTCTCTTCTTCCTTGCAGAGAGTTGAGCAGTTTGTGTGTGCAGCTACTAAACACAGTGTTTATTAATTCTCATAACAGTGACATAACATTTGATTGCATCTCAGGAATTCCTACAAAGCTGATAGGAATGCTCTGATCTCCTAAGAGGAATTTATTCTACCCATGGAAGAGGTGCCAGTAATCAAATAGCATGGCTGTAAATATCATGGTCAGTGGAATCCCATTTCTCTCCAAGTAGATGATCATGATGAAGGCATGGGATCAGGACCACTCCCTGAACCCGTGCCTTTGAGTGTGAAAACACCAGTTGGCTGTGCAGTTTCTGCTGTGTTACACATAAAATAGATGACAGGGTTTGGAATAGGGAGACGATTATGCTGGCATATCATAATCCCATATATCCATTTCCTCTGCTTAATAGTTTCTCAGTCAGGTACATATGTGCATTCCTGTATACCCTATGATGGTAAGCAGTGATGAGCTTGGTGTTTAATAACACTGAAGAGGAAGTGACTCTCCCACTTCACCACTGCATCCTGCAGTGAATCTCAAGAAAGTTGGAACTGGAAGCTGCTCTTCTTTCAAACTCCTTACTCCAAAACTGTGGTCCTCAAATCAGTAGCATCTGCATTGCAGGAGGGAACATTTGAAATGCAGAATGTCAGGCCTTACTTGAGATTGACTGGATCAAAATCTATACTTTGCTTGGTGATTTGTGAGCATAATAGTATTTGAGATGATTCCCCTGGGTGGGGGGAGGAGCAATGCTAGTGTTGAATCTTTGCTGGGCTTTATAAGGTGGAGGGTTAAATTTTAAGTAACTGCCATAGCTGACTAGTAGTTATTCTGGAAGTTTGAAATTGGTCAAATTAGAAAGTATCTACTCATAGAAATCAGAAAATACTAATTAGGGATTATTGTTTTCTTTTAGACACCAATTTATTAAATCTTTCCTACCCTACTACTAATCCCAGTCCTTTTTTCTGACAAACAGAGAGACAACTTCAGGCTTTGACAGTACCTAATTTAGTGAAAATAAACAGTTGATAACAGACTCTGTAGAGACCACGAGTAGTATGAATTTGGTGGATAGGGGAAAGACTGGAGGGACTATGCACTAGGTGGTTAATAATTTGAAAGCGACTTTAGATGCTAATTCATTGATTGAGGCTTGATTAGTTTTGGTGGTCTTGTTCCTGTCCATTTGTTGGCTGAAATACCCTTCCAAATACAAATCTTAACAAGTTGGCTACTTCCTTTGTAGCATTTAGATGACTCCTCTAGGAAGCATTCTTTTTAATGCTGCCAAAATGAGTGGCCTGCCATAGCTCTGTATTTCCCCAACCTTCTTAGTACTATCTTTCACTTAATGTGATAATTGCATGTTTCTTTGCCTTTGCTAGTTAGATTCCTTTCTTCCTGGAAATAGGAGTTCTGACTTGTTTGCCTTTCTCTCTCTAGTGTCTAGCACATAATATATATGCATAGAATATGTGCATAATGAAAGGAGTGGTCGTAGTAAAAAAGAATTTTTGAGGTACAATACCCCGGTTCATATAATGGTTCTGTCATAACTGGAGCGCTTCCTTGGACAAGTAATTCAGTGACTTCTCCTCCTAAATTTTGAACACAGCATACCAAGGTATTGTAAGCTTTATCTTACTGCAAGATGCTGTGATAGTAATGGATACTATTTGTGGCTACGTGCATATTTCTTTTAATAAATAGAACTATGATTTTGTATCATGACATTTTAGGGTCTTTTATCTGATTCTGGTGTGTTTGTATGAATTTGTTTCAGTTTCCTTTCTTGCTTTTACCTGATTAGTTCAGGTAGGGCCTCTGTCACATCATATTCCATCCTGAGTGCCACAGGGCAGTTTCCTGGTAGGAAGTGGATAGTATGAATTTAGATTGGGATTAAACTTTCTTATTCTGAAGTCATTAACCTGATTACATGCAGCATGTACTTGCAGTGTTGGGCCCAATTTAAAAGATGTGTAAAACCAGCCTATCCTAACTGCTTTACCAAATTTATCTCCTTTAGTTTTCAAAATAAACTTGTTAGGTTCTTATTATTTCATTGTTTTTCTGATAGTTTTTACTAATTAACCCCTGGTTGTAGAGCTGGTAAATCGACAATCCAAACCCCAAGTAATCTGACACTAGAGGTCACTCTCTCTCTCACCAGCACCTGCTGCATCTGTAGAATTCTGGTCACTGGAGAACAGCTTACATGACTTTTGAGCTTTAGGTATGGACAGCCATGAAGCAAGGTATATTTGCAGAAAATAAAATTTTTCCCTCAGAGGTGTTTAGACTACATCACCACTACTAGATCAGGTCTCTCACTATCTGTGGAAAATGATGTGATCTTCCCCTTAACAACATTTGTTTTCCATCCTTCCTCACCAGCATCACCTTCACCTTTCTACAGCCTGCCCCAACCTGCATCATTATCACCCTCCCTCCATCCTGCCTTCACCAGCATCACCTCTTCATCCTGACCTCACCAACATCACCTTCATGCTCAGTGCATCCTGTCTTCACCATCATCAACTGCACACTTCCTCCATCTTGCCTTCACAAACATCATCTCCATCCTCTTGCCATTGTGCCAGCTCAGGGAAGATTTTTGTACATCTTGTGCCAACCCAGTATCTTTTACTTTGTCTCCTTTTACTGTACAGAGTGCACAGTTTTGCTCTTTGTTTGTCTGTATTACCAAAGCCCTCTCAGGGTAAGAACCGTGTCATCACCACCCTCATAGTGTGGCTTGAGATATCCACATGAATTACAGTTTAGCGACTGCTTCCCATATTTTGGCTGCTTTTCATGTGTCTTGGTTGTGAGCTACCACTCTGTTACCCTGCAAGCTAGGAATTATTATCATTGCCATTTTGCAATGAGAAACCTGAAGCTGAGACAACTTGAGATCTTGTCTTCATTATAGAGGTAGCAAGCAGGGCAAGCTAGGATTCAATCCCAGGTCTCATCTGCCTGCAGAACAGGCACTCTTCAGAGTGTCCTAATATTTCTTCAGCATCATTCCCCACTCCATGTCTAGGAGAGCACAGGGGATGCCATGGACATAAGTGAATAAGTGGAATGACAATTCAGAAGACACCAATATTTTTAAATATCTCTGATAGGATCATTTTGGGTTTTGTTGTCTTGGTTCTGAAACCTCCAAACTGTTCATATAAAGGGATGAAAAGAGTTCTTAAGAGAAGTGTATCCCTTGATTTCCCCCAGTGTGTTGAATTTTAGGGAAAGAAGAGGACATTCTTTGGACTGTTTTCTCTGAGTTAGTTTGCTATTGAAAACTGTTCCTTTCTATGTCCAAAATAACTGCTGCTTGGAGTGATACCCTATGCACTCATCAGGGTAGGGTCCTTTTTAAATACAAATTTCCAGTGATTGAGCTGAATGCAGGCAAAGAGTGACAAGCAGGGTAAGGCCACTGGCAATTAGTTAGCTCATATAGTGCATATATTTGCAGTAGAATCTGTGTCTGCCCCTTTCAGCTGGTTCTACTAAGACCACTCTCCAGTCAAACCAATGTTTATGACTTTCTTGCATTCTCATTCTGAGCCAGAATGGAACCAGGGTCCTGGAGGTAAAAGGTTCCCTACCATATTTTGAATTCCCTGAGACAAACTGTTCCCGATGATGTCCTGAGGAATTATTTTCCCATTTAATCTAATTCAGCAAGGCTTCTCTCTGGGATTTACAGTGAGCATTATTTCTTTAAAAATAATTTTTTAGAGAGGAAAGAAACATGTTTTACTATGGTGAAGGTAAGCAAAAAATGCTTTTGACACCTCAGGTAATAGGGATTTTTTTTTGCCCATCCCTTTCTGAAATTCAATTGAAAAATGTATTTTTACCCTTCTTCATTCCCAAAGGAGCTTTTCATAATTTAAATCTCCTGTTCAACTGTACATTTAGCATGGACCCTGACACTGTTCTGATTATAGCATACATGCTGGACATTACAGTATTTCTCTGGGCGCATTCTAATTTTATTCCCTCATTATTAGCCTCCTAGCAGAGAATTGCATTCTGCACTCTGAACTGGACAGCTGTTCAGTACCCAGTGATGGGTACTAGCAGTTAAGATCATAAAAACTGGGGAAAGTTCCCATTCTCATTTCTATTTTTTAAAATTTACTCACTAAAGGATAATTTCTTCACCACGTTCACAGTTCATCTGTTTAAACAGGTTTAAAACAAAGAGCATAAAAAAGGTTGCAATCTATTCTACATGCACCCCAGCTTCCATAACAAAGAAGAATTTAAGAGAAGAGAGAGAGAGGTCTGTTGGGGAGAGGGAAGGAAGCATGAAAATGAAGGAAATGAGAGAGAGGAAGAAAACAAGGAAGGAAAAGAGAACTTCTATTAATTAAAGCAGTTTTTAATACCTATGGAACGAATATTAAAATCTGAATGAAATTTAAAGATAAAAAGACTTAAGTATGTACTCATTCTAGCTCTTTAGATTCACTTTCTTAACTCAAGAATTTAGAAAGTGCCAATATTGTTCAATTAGGTGCTTTGTGCAAAGCACTGATTTTGTTTTTAAACCTGTTTCAGTGGATGCTTATCCTTCTTCCTCCTTGTTTTTGCAGGAAATTTCAATGAAAAGGAAAGCCAATGGGTTGTGGTCTTAGAAAAGCTGCTTAGATCATGTCTGTTTCCAGTACTGTAAACACGTGGCAGAGCTGTAAGTAAACGCTCCACACTGCATGATGAATTGGATGGCTGCGGACCGGAGACAAAAAAAATAATTGTCTCATTTTCGTGGTGATTTGCTTAACTGGTGGGACCATGCCAGAACGGCTAGCGGAAATGCTCTTGGATCTCTGGACTCCATTAATAATATTATGGATTACTCTTCCTCCTTGCATTTACATGGCTCCGACGAGTCAGACTCAAGTTTTAATGAGTGGATCTCCTTTGGAACTAAACCGACTGAGTGGAGAACAGAGGGTTTTGAACCGCTCCAAAAGAGGCTGGGTTTGGAATCAAATGTTTGTCCTGGAAGAGTTTTCTGGACCTGAACCGATTCTTGTTGGCCGGGTAAGCATCATTTTTAAGATTCCAATTTTAGGGTTTGTTTGTGGTCTTCAGATGTTTAACATCAGAGTACCCACAGTTGTGGCCACACTTAGCTGTTAATCCTTTAGGCCAGATGGTTAGTTAGTTAATCTGTTGGTTTCTTTAGGAATATGAATAATCCCATGGTAACAGATCAAAATGGTCAGCTAAGGAAAGCTTTCCCTCCCTGCCGTTTCTACCCATTAGATAGACAACACTTGTGTAATACACAAACAAGAAAACTTTTCTTTTACATTCACATGAGAGCTCTCTGTGCCAAACCTTTTCTCTAACTTGTAGCATTTGAACTAGCAGTTGGAAGAGGTATGCCTTTTTGCTCTGTTTGAATTCCTGCTACCTCAACTGTTAGGAAAATATTTTATTTCTTTTTATTTTACAGCCATATATTTCTAATTGCAGGCATACTTTACTTCCTTTTGGTTGCATTTTTCATTGATTCAATCCTTAGACTATAGAAAGCAAAGTTTGTAACACAGATGCTTAAAAAGCCTGAAACTATAATTTAACAAATGCTGTTGTAGGATATTAGTTCATTTATTGTAGATGAAATCAAATGTATAGAATCAAATTTTAGTCTAATAATGGTGTATCTTAGATTGGATTTACATTTGTTTTTTCATTGTTGGTAAGATTTTGTGTAGCACAAGCTGGTTTCTTTGGAAAATCACACTGTGGGTAATCAAAGAGCATCCTTGTTTTTCCCTTAGAAGTGTTCAGAAGCGTCTGTTAATTTTGATGCACATTAACATCATAAGTAGAATTCCAATAATGAGCTTGCCAATGGCTGATTTTAATCATACGTAATATTCAAAAATAAATCAAGCCAGTATTATTCATTTCCCAAGTGTACTGATTTAAAAGAAAAATAGAAGGGGAATTAAATATTGATCTTCAAGACTTGAGTTAACTCCTTGTTTCACCAGGAATTTCTGATTGCATTGCCTACTCTAATGTCTTACAAAACAAATTGAACCTCCTCAAGGATAATGTTTACTAGTTTCATATGGTTCATATGGTTATCCTGGAATGAAGATCGTTTGGATGAGGAGATACCATGAATCGTTATAGTGGTTTTTATTGAGCCCTTCCTATGTGCCAAGCAATCCATTAGGTACCTGGGGTTGTATCAATAAAACAATGATTTTTGCCTTCTTGGAAAGCACATTCTGGACATTATTGAGTGTTGATTATATATTGGGCACTATTATAATAAGCACTTTGTTGAAACAAACCTATTTGACCCTAATGATAGGCCTTCCACATGTATATATGTACCTGTAGGTATATGCGCATATGTATATACACATATGTACATACATGAGCATGCATACAGTATGTTTTGCATGAGTATAGAACAGTTTTTTAATCCTTTGTCATAAATCTAGCATACAAAAATCTGTGAAACATTTTTTGTATGCCAGAAACAAACTCAGGAAGCAGAAATGACTGGAGGCTATTTATAGTCATAATGGATCCCATTACTGCGACTGTTCGTACATTTCACTGCAGAAATGTTAATGTAGTTGATTACAGGTGCTGCCCCAGACCCTGCTGAGGGTGTTTCTTACTGTACAGCTTATGTATTTTAATGTTTCTAAAACGGGAGTTCTGAATTCCAAAGCACATCTAGCTCCCCGGGTTTTAGATATAGGCTTCTTGACAAGCTTTATCATTTTTGTAGATGCAAAAAAACTGAAGTTTATTTGAGTTAAAAAATCAGACCACAATCACAGGGCTAGTAATTGTTCTACCTGAGTTTAAATCCTGTTGGAGATTGTCAAGGCCATAATTTCAACCACCAGACCCTATTACATACTAGTAACTGGGTACCTGGAGTTTGTAATTTGCACTTGAGTTATTGGATATTGAATGTACAGTCTTTAAATTCCTACTTTCTAATATATAAAATTTCTTTAACCAGTTCTAAGGCAAGTCATTTTCATCTTATATGAAATACTAGAAGTGCATGTATTTATACTTAGTGGATGGATACTTTCTCCTTGCTTCTCTTAGTTACCTTGTTACGCAGGTATATTGCTCTGCACGTGTCTTGCATAATGTAAATAACTGAACATGCTGTGCCCAAGAGAGCATTACATTTTTATCTGAATAGAAAAAAGTAATTAAAATAGCATTTGTTTTGGACTCTGAATCTGATGGCTGATTTACTTTCATTCCTGAAATGGAATAGTAGAGATAGAAGCAAGTGGCCAGGCATTCAGCATCTCCAAGTGATTCAGTAATATTTCTTTAAATGACAGAAATCATAGTGAACTCTTGGAGTTTGAAATGACTAAAATGCACCTGAGTCTTAGCAGCAGACACTATAAATTAGCCCCTTTGCCTGCACTCTACTATGACCAATTCCCAAACAATTATTAAATCAAAATTAAACCTATTTTCTGGAGAAACTTTTTTGCACACATTTCCAGTCATATGTATTTCCCCTTTAGGAAAAATGCTCCTGAATTATGACAGCCCTTCCTTTGAGAGTCTTGGTTATAGCAAAGCCAAAAAATACATTTCAGTGACTGCTTCAGATTAGGAGTCAGGCTGAGTACGGGGATGATCCGTATCAGGGTGCCCACTGGTGCTTTACAATGTTTTATCTCCGTGCACACTCTTCCACATCTGACTCTTTAAACCTCTTCACCACAGAGCTTCTCCCCAGGAAATAGCTGAGATGTATTAGTTACTTATAAGCATACCTGTTCTTTAAAAGGCCCTCCTGCCAGTCACCATTGTGGGGGCCTTGACCCTAGCAGGGTGGGTTCAAGCTCAATGGCAGAGCCAGCTTTTGACTGATTGGTTCTTCAGAGCTGCACATACACCCTTACATCATCCATCATCTGTTTTTACATATAGGTAGCACCTAGACACTGAGAAAAAAACCCTAAGCATTAGAGATGGACTCTCCAAAGCTTTGAATATTGATTTTATTACTTTCTGGGTGCTAATCTTGGAAAAGTTACTAAATCTTTTCAAGGATTATGCAAAAAGATAAGCAAGCATATTTAAGAGTATATAATGGCATATATACCTGGCCCATGTAGTAGTAATTGTAGTCACAATTATTTTCTTAATTGTGTGTGTAGTAGGAGTGGTGGGCAGACATACTGACAGTTTCATTTCTAGGTGAACACAAGACTCTGGGATCTAAAGAATGGCCCCTTTATTTGTCAAGCTTGAAAAGGATCAGGGTGGAGGTGATTCAGTGTATCTGGAAAGATGCCTGACACACTCAGTCTGGTAGGGTGGAAGGAGGTGTCCCACTTATTCATAAAATGTCATGAGGATAGAGAAAAATGATGGAACATTCTCATGGTCAGAAACAACACAAACCTTTGTATTTCCTGTTGAATTAGAATGAAGTTGAAATTCATTTTCTTACAAGGACCTTCTCATGCATTCTGTCTAAAATGTAATTCCTCCTCCAATATTTCATGCCCTTTTTCTATGTTATAATTTTCTTCTTCCTGATGATAATTATTTAACATACTCTGTATTATGTTTTTGTTTTATTTCCTGCTAGAACATGAATTCCACAAATAAAAGAGTTACTGTCTACTGTTCTTTACTGAAAATCTCCAGAACTTAGAACATTACCTGCATATAGGATGTGCTCAGTCACTATTTTGCATGCACCCATGAGTGATTAATCCACCTAAATATTGGAGTGATTTATAAAAGCTGTATAAACTCAATCAAATTTAATACAAATGGTATTTTTTGATACATTACCTTCATGTTCTCTTTCATAGTTCTAGCTATTGACTTTTAAAATCTTTCTTAGAGATAGTAGGGCTAAAAAAGTCTACTTATTAAAGTACTCTCTTTTAAAGACACTACAAAACCAATTTTGTGGAAACCGAGTTCCTCATAGTTGCAAGAAGCACACATATTCTTCTAATGCATTTTCAAATTTCTTTTGAATTTCTGAAAGACAAATATCACCCAAGCAAACTGCTTTCCTGCCTCCAGATCTCTGTGAAACAAGGTTGTGAAGAACCTGTTCACCAACACATAAATACTATATTTTCCATGTTGTCACACACTTCCAGCATTGACTTACCCTGGAAAGTCTGGCAGAGAACAAAGTAGCTCATGAGATTCTTAACCAAAACAGACTTATTTGTTCTGGTCTTAGAAAAGAGAGGTAGAAAACCTGTGGTGGTTTTTTGTTAACTCTTGCAACTGAGACAAAATATTGCCCTTGTGGTAAAATGTGCATGTATTCTTTCTGTTAGACAGGTGATGTCATCATGAAGGTCTTCTGTGCTAAATAAGGAGGGCAATTGATGAGGCACTTCATAACTGTGTATTAACCATCTATTAACTGCTAACTCTGCTAAGTATTCCATTGCCACTGATGTCTCAGCACTGATCAAACCCAGTTCTATCTTGTCTGTCATGTAGCTAATTGTCTACTAGAAGGAGACAATAAGATAGAAAATCACATGAATGTATATCACATTAAAACTGAGATAAGTACACGGAAGTAAAGGCATGTTTCTGTTGAAGCATATGCAGAGGAAGCTAATGTCATCTGCAGGAGGACAAAATCTTTGCCAAAGAAACAACCTGTGAGCTGAGACATGTTCACCAACTGAACAAGGATACATGGATGAAAAGAGAAAGGAGTCCTGCATGTTCAGGGTTATTTATAGAGCAGAAAGAAGCTCAGCATGAGTGAATGCCTTCGTCCAAGCTACTATAACAATTCAACATATACTAGGTGGTTTATAAACATCACAGATTTATTTTACACAGCATTAGAGAATGGAAGTCTGACATCAGGGTGCCAGCAAGGTCAGGTTCTGTACATTGCCCTTTTCCTGGTGTACCTGATGGGCAGAAAGAGGAAAGTGAGTTATCTAGGGCCTTTTTTATAAGTATACCCTTAACCCCAATCATTGGGTCTCTACTGTTAGACTCAGTTATCCCCCAAAACTCCACATCCT